TCCCGTTCCTCCGGGCGAGAGGGCCGCGACAATGCCTCCTCCCCGAGAACAGCGTCTATTATCGGCCGCGAACGTTTCCCGGCCGACCGGGTCTCCCCTATGGTCGCGTGTCCTTTGACCTTTCGCGGGTTCAAGCGCTCCCGTTAATCTTTCAAACGGGATCCGCCATTCCGGCCCGACAGCGGCTCCACTCTAATCTTCGACGGACTCCGGCGTTTTCTAATTGTCCGAGCTTCCGTGCGGACCGCGGCGGGCTCGCGGCGATCCGTTTTATTACTCTCATACGCGACACTCGATTTATTATTATCGCTCCCGGTCGGACGAGATACAACAGCTTCCATTTACGGCCGGAGATATTGCCGCCCGTCGATGTTCTATCGTGCTTTACGATCCCGGATCGCGAGCGCGGCTCCTGAGAATAAAATTTTACGATACCCGGACGGCCGTCCTTGCTCGCGGCGCGGCTCCTCCGAGGATCGGGCGAGACAACGGGCGCCGCGCTTCGCGACGATTATCCTCGCCATGCTCGCGGGCTCTCGCGGCGGGCTCGCGGCGGGCTCGCGACGGGACGGAGCCCAGTTCCAGGCTGCCGGCGGGCCGATCAAATTTTAATCGAATGCTCCAGCGACGGTCCCGACGTTCCCTCCTGACATTTAAGTCCTCCGCCGCGGTCGGCTAAATATGGAGATCGGTCGCGACGGCAATCTCCCTCCGGCTTCCTCTTCAGCCCTGCGCTCCCGACTGCGCGCGACCATGCGTCATCGCCGATCCTCGTGCCCATTAATGGTGGAAATCAGAGGGGAACCGATCGCGGGTCACCGGGGATCCTCGAGGTACTCGGAAAACGGAGCGTCGACGAGACTCCTCGCGCACTCACGATCTCCCCGATCTCTGCGGCGACGTCACTCGAAGCATCGCCGGCGAATCGAACTCTCGAACTGAATTCGCTCGATTTCGAGGCACGAGCTCAGGGAGAAATCGAACACGCTTGATCGTCGAAACTGAAAGATCGGTCACTGAGGCGCACCAGGTTGTTCACCGATCACGTGCGTGCGGGGGACGGGTGGAAGAGGACGGGGTTTCACGGGGAAACGTTTACGGCGTGGCGGTCACCGGTGTCGAAGCACACGCGCCGGATGGGTGTCGCGAGCGAAAAATCGGTTGCGCTTCGGGAGAACTGTCCTTCCTGCGGCGATCACGCGCACCTGTACGAATCACGCAATCTCACGGGGCACACGAGGTCGCGTCGTGCAGGCCGAAGACGCGTAATGCGCTCATGACGACAGCTCGCAACCAACTGTGGCTCACTTGGCCACCCTGTAGTTCCGCCACCCACCGCAACCCCGAACCGAGGGGGGTGGCCAGGCGCTTGCACGCCGCGCACCGTTTAGAGATCAGAAGAAATGTTTTCATCTCGCCCCACCCCCTCCTACTTCGCCGCGCGACGCGGCAGATCGCTCGGGCAGAAACGCTTTCGATTCCGGTCGCGCTCGTTTGAATTCAACGGGACGCGGGAATTGTTCGGCCCGACGGGGGGGTCGGTCTTCCCGTGATTTATCCGCGTTTATATGCGGAACTACGGGGAATCGCGGTGGAACGGACGATACTCGGTTGTTTAAGGTGGTCCGAGCTCTGTTCAGATTGCGATACATGGGGATTGATGGTATTGTCGTTGCTTCGTCGATAGCTTTCGATGGCGGACGGAGATTGGGATGGAAGGTTCCTTGAAAGTTTTTATTAGGTTATTGTGCTGGATGTTTTTGTTGGATTTGGATGATGCGTGGAGTTCTGGGGGGATGAGTGTTTTTAGTGGGTAGAGATGAGATTGTGTTTGGATAGTTAACCCTTTGCACTCGAGGTTGTTTTGGAATCTATCAACTGCAACTAATTTTTATATTCCTAGCGAAAATTAGAAATGCTATAACATTTCGATCGTTTATTTTCCTTGTTAGTAGAACATTTGGATGTGCGGAAGATTCATTAAAATATTTAATATTATAACTGGTGCAATATTGGAGTTCAAAGGGTTAACCCTAGAAATATTTAACATTTTTGACGAGGCGAAGGTGACATTCTTTGAAATTATCTCTAAAAGAAATCACGAGTACATTGAGCAACAAAGATGTTTTATTCCAATGTTTCACGTATCGAGGCGTTATACGAAGTTCAACATTGAATATCACATTTCATAGTTGCACTGCGTCAAATCAAGTGGTGACTGAGAATCACTCTCAGAGAAGTGACTCTCAATCATCACATGAATCGATGCAACCAAACTATGAAGTTGAATATTTGATATTTGAAATTAAAGTTCGCATTGCTATGCGAAACATTTGAATAAAACACCTCTGTTGCGTAATTTATCTATGAATTATCATTAAATTAGTTTGTAGAATATATTAATACAAATACCGATTGAGAGAATTCTTAAAATAAATGCTTTGAGTAATGATATATGAGAATCATTTTTGTATCCCGATAAGGAAAATGTAGCTTAATATTTTTCCTTCGTTTCGTATGTTATCTTCCTTCGAAAATGGAAATGTTACAACGTGGAGTTCATCTGGGCGGACGTAGAGATCATTATTCGAGTAAACGATGCTCAGATAATCGAAGCTCCACCGTATCATACCTCGGAATAATTAATTTCTCTGCTGTCAGTATCTATCATGGCTTCCAAGCGGAGGCTCTTTTTACTCTCGTTTTCATATTAATAGATTAATTGAGATTCGTTTTACTTGGATAACTCGGGGATCAATAAACGTATCAAGGAGAATGTTTCCTGAGAAATTCATGAATGAATTTTACACAGAAATAAACATATTTGTAAAACACCTGAGAATTTTCCATTCACCGTGTTTGCGAACTATGTTTCCATTGTGATCATGCCTGATTAATATTCTGACAAATTCTATGCTTAGTAAC